GCGTATTAAAGTTGCCTGATTGTTTGTTAGTTAAATTGCTCCATGTAGGTGTGCGCAGAGGGGGTGGAATGTGTGGCGTTGGTGCGTGTGCCACAGTAATTGTTCTTTCCTTAAATAGCTGCTGTCATAGTTACTGTGTGCCTGTGGGCAGGTTGTTAGAATACACTGGCACCTGAAACCTTTAAAAACACACAAAAAAACTTCTCAAGAGGCTGTGAAGATTTCATGAACATAGGAGAGGAGGTGAATCATGTGGCTGCATGTCATCCTCGTTTTTGTTCTTTTCTGTTTACCTGTGTGTCTTTGTGTGTATGTCCAGATTCACACCTCACCTGCTTCTCATTCTCATCCTCCAGTCGCAGCCTCTCCTCGATGCAGTTGCGGGCTTGCAGGAAGACTTTCCTCTGGGTGCGCTCAGTGAGGATCCTTACAAACACCCCTGACAAGTTGACACTGATGAACAGCACCGCATTGGCCACCAGCTGCACACAAACAAGAACATACATGCCAAACATACATACTGTATCTGCAGGTGAGCCTGACACACAAACGCTTGTGTGTGTGTTTGTGTGTGCAGCTGTACATGCTGGTTATGTTAGACTTAACCATCTTTGATTAATCCATAGGCTGGATCGCAGGGCTGACATCAAGGTCAATGCATGAATTACAACATGATCTGCAGACATGAGTCAAAGGACAAAAGCACTACTGTACAGCAGAATGGCCACAGACAAAATGCGTTACTGATTAGTGATCAGAGACTATCGATCCTGCTGGACACTTAATTTAGAGGATGAACTGTGGCCAGACTGTGTCAGAGGTCAGAGGTGAAAGTTCAGAGATGGACTCTTGCACAGCCTGATGGATGATGCCATAGTGCGATGAGCAAAACACAGCCTCATGAACAACACAGAGCTTCGCTCCAGTTCGTACTTTAACAAATAAGCAAAAAGAAAAGACTTCCAGGATCAGTGCATTTTGTTCCCAAACTACTGTGTTGTGACACGACACAAATCTTTTTCTCATCTTTGCCATTTTTCAATTAGCTACTATGTAATTTTACCTCAAAGTGAAATAGAACAGGATTCCTGGCTGATGATGGGTCACAAGTAGACACTCCTGTAGTTCATTACTACCAGTCAATTAACTGTGTGATATTATTCTGAAGCCCGTTTTACTATCACAGGTGTTTTTGTGTTTTATAACACTGGTTACCAACCTGGGGTCTAGAACCCCCAAGAGGCTGCGTGTGAGTAGTTGTGAGTAAACAGAACTGAAAAGCAGAATAAACATATGTTTCTGCAAGAAAAGATTCCCTGTTTTGCTTGAAGGTAATTTTCTTAAGGTCCCTAAAAGCCAAATAAAACAGTCTGAGAAGGAGAACTGGGTCTTTGGTTTAACTGGTCACCACCAGTGACATTTGCAAACTGTGAAAATAGGTTCCAAGTAGACATGGCTTCATCTTAAGTGATCATAGGTCAAAAGGTTGTGAAGCACATTGTAGTAAAGATTGAGACGCTGTAGAACCAGATTTAATGAAATGTTTGATAAAAACATCTTAAATACTGAAATGATTATTCTACCAAACATGTGGGCACAAGGACTAGTCCAGTATCAACATTAGCTTGCGCGTGAGGCTCTGCAGAGATCCTCTCCACCTATTTCAGCACCAGCAGCTGGGCAGCTCCTCCTCTGCTTCATTACACTGGTGCACAAAAGTGAAACTTTCTGCAGTTTCCAGTTTTACAACTATGGTAACCTGGAGCCAGAATCGATCACTGAGGTTGTTTTAACAGTTTCTTCTCCAGTGAAAGTCGGATAAGTAAACATGCTGCCTCTCAGCATCATTTTACATTCATATTGTAGAGTTGCTTCACAGCCCAGCTGGCCCAGTGAAACTACAGTTTTCTATACTGGAGCTGCTGCTCAGGGGTACCTGTTGAGTGAAAGGGCGACTCAAGCTGCAGTCTCCTTGATATGATGATGGCTTTAATGAAAAACATGACTGCTATCTAAGGCAGGCTGGCAGGGATGCGGGTGCAGCACTTACCGGTCTCCACAGCTTCTGTTTCCTTCCCGTGACTGAAGTCGCTATGACAATGAAGTGGGATGCAGCCAGCATCACCCCGAACAGCACCGCCAGCAGCGTCCGCACGGGCAGCAGCACGTACGCCACGAGGGTGACCAGCATGAGCTGCCACACGCCTTGCTCTGGGGCAGCGGCGCTCACCAGGTCCGACGTGCCAAGCGCCAGAGGAAACGGGCAGCAGAGCAGCGAAAAGGTGAAACTGAACAGCAGGGCCAGCTTCGCGATTTGCTGCAGCTGCGTCACATGCAGGTATTTGACGTTTGTGACGATGAACAGAGACAGGAACACCACGCAGTGCACCGGGTAGGAGCCCTTGGACAAGGTGAGACGCGGGCTGGACAGCAGCTCCACCAGGGACAGCGACGACGCAGCCACGATGAGCACCGCAAGCGCTTTGAGGGTGGCGGTTTGCTCCAGCTTCAGGTTGTAGCTCTGAAAGAGAGTCTCCAGTTCGTGGCTGTTGAATTCGTCCTCGCAGGCGATGGCGCCCAGGGGTGCACCTGCCGGGCAGTGACCCTTCCTCCGCCGGGTCTTGACTCTTTCGAATGGCACCTCCTCCATGTTCCGGCCATTCATGAAGCGGAGATGGCGCACGACCCCTCAACTTTTTGGTTCCTCTCCTCTTTTCGGGAATCGAACCAACACCCTCTCCCAGATCATGCGTCCTGGATGTCCGAGCGTTGGGCTCGGTGTCAGAGAGGGGACAGTGGCAAAAAGATGAGACAACAGAGCACCACACGCGCTCTATCCACAGGTTGAGATTGTGTTGGTGTGTCGTCAGAAAAGTAACCCGACCAATGTGCAGCACGCCTCTCTCTCCATCGCCCCCCACCCCCTCCCCGGACCACCTGCGGTGCCTCCTACAGGGTTACCGGTGATGCCGGGCTCCTACAGGAGCCACTCATCTCACAGGGAGGATCAAGCTTGCCTTTGTTGATAATCAAAACACCTCACCACGAGGCTTCAGCAAATAGCCCTTATAACAAAAATGATGTTATTATCTTTTCCGTGGGTCCTTTCCATGTTTCCCGCCTCAGAAAGGCACAGCTCACAAACAAATGCACACATACAGTAAATATTCTATTTTTAATTTGCGGCAGTGAAATGTCAGTGGTTGGGCGAAGACAGCAGCTAAACAACGCTGGTGATTTCCCCTCACAGTGTCTGCAGTCGGAGCTGATGTAGTTCCCAGCTAAAAATAGACCAGCTGCACCGGTGGATGGTCCAATATAGCAACAATTTGGTATTTCCTGCATCTTTCCCTCATAATTTTAGTCCAGAGTCAAGTCACTGAGAATTACCAGAAAAGAGAGGGATGGTAACAGTCGTACGGGGAGATGAAAATAGCGCACGCTTCCCGAATTAACAGTGAAATTGTAAGAATGATCACGTGCATCTTGAAATGCGGTGCACCCTTGTTACGGTCATTGTTGCATATTTTGCGCATGCATTTGTGCATATATTTGTATTAAGCTCCAGGTTATTTAATGTGGGTTTAATGAGTTTTAACATTAAATTGAAACACCCATGAGAATAAACGGGGTTGTTGCAGAATAAATACTGGCAGAATAAAGGCTTATCAGTGGGCAATTGGAAACGAAAAAGAAGTTGAAGTAGAATTCAAACTGACATGATAATAGATAGATAATTAAAGCTGTCTTCTGTAAGAATACGCCATATTGGAATTAAACGTGCAAATAACCATATTTACATATCAAAAGGGAGAAAATTTTGAGCTTGGTGTAAAATATGCAGATATAGTTTACAGCAGAGGTTTCCAGGAATTTATTTTGGTGCATGTAAGTAATACTGCAGATAAAATACCAACTTTGTTAAAACTAGATTTTGACAAAGAAAGGTGTTTGAGGACAGATGGGTTGGTTCTGATGTGTTTTAATAGTTAATAGCAAAGGACATACAGGGCTGTAAGTTGGAGTGAAATGTACAAAACAGTCCAAAGTCACTGCTTGTTCTTGCATAAATGCCTCCAGCAGTGATACCTCCTCCACACACTGTCTCCAGTCTTGGGACAGCCTCAGTTGTTTGATCAGACAGATGCCAAAAATAACAGGGGTTTAGTCTAAAATAGATGGAACTCATCTTTCAGGCACAAATTATGAAACCTCAGGAGACAAATGCAAGTGCTTTAGTGGCCTGAACGGTGACCTTGTCTTTTGTTGCACTTGTGCCTCAGATTGCTAAGATTTCTGTGGAAGACTCATCAATGAAGAAGTCTATGTGAAGCACTTTGGGTCCTCCTAACAAAAAGCGTGTGCACAGTCAATATCCAATATGGTCCAGCATGTTTTAAATCAAAAGCCTGCAGAGTCAAGATCACAACAGTAGGAATCTGATGGGAGACTTGTCCGGTGGTTCTGTTGACACAGTGAAGCTCACCTCTTTAAATGCTCATGGTGCTTTATTAATCGTGGATCAAAATGCATGTTTTATCTTGAAAAAGTGGTTTGACAAAACAGTCCTGACTCAAGGTTAGCTTGCTAACTTTTTCCAGAGCTTTCAACCATGTTACATGGTTTTCATCACTGGATCAAATGGTTTAATTTGTCCAAATACTATTTCTAAGGTCAAGAATGAACTTCTTTTGGAAGTGTGTTTTGAATATGTTATTTTAATGATTTTATAGTGGGTTCTGGGAGGCTAACATAAAATAAGCAAAGACTTTGTGTGAAGATGCCTAGTGCAGGTTTGGACCATGATTCATTTTCTCCCTCTGGATCTGAGGACAGAAACATCAACTGAGGCTTTAAAGCACCTCATGTCATGGTCCGCCCCTGACTTCCTGCCAGAGGCTCTTATTGTGAAAGGAACTTTTGGGTTTTCACCATCTCATTCCCTCCAGCTTCACTTCTGCCAATCAGCGACTGATGCCGCTCACCTGTTGCTCTTTATCTCCACCCTTCATCGCTTCTTCAACTGTTGGATTGTTGTTAGTGCTACCACTCCATTATTGTCAGTCTCCTGGGTCCTGCTTCTCCCCACTGACCTGCAGCCACACCTCTCTAGGCATGCCTGATCCTGTTGGTTTGCTGGAGCTAAATAGGGCTGGATCTGGTCAGTACTTTGCTAGGAGACTACTTGAGAACATCAAGTGCCGTAGGCTGAAGCTCCCTTTGCTAGTGAACTGAAATCTTTAATCATCTGCTCTGTTTCATTGGTGTCCACTGCTGTATCCTGATATTAAACTATTTAAAGTACTGTTCTGTCTCTGGCATCAGCATTTAGGTCCTCTCAATCACGTTCCCCATACCTCATGGAAAAAAATGCAGATTTCACTTCATCACAAATTTGTCTCAACCATTTTCCCTTGCTTAACTTTATTGTCCCTGCTGTTTAAGTTCTGATTTTGTTCTAATTGTTTTTCCCATATAAAACCCTCTGAGCTGCATTCAGTCTACATAAGCTGCTATATGAATACAGCAGTCCACGGTGCAGCACTTAAACTGCTGTAAGTTGTTTTGGAACATAAGTTGCAGCATTGTTTTACTGTCCCCAAATCTCACCTGTTCAGCAACTTGAAGCCATGAAGTGATACAGGCAGTGCACACACACTGGCTCAATTCCTCTCCTGAATTAAGTGACAGCTGCAGCGTTTTGGACCCCTCTTTCCTCCAAGCCCCCCATTGCCATGGCAACAGAGGCAGTAGGCCTAGCAGTTGTGACTGATGTGCTGCTGAGGTGTTTCCCAATCTGACACCCTGGTCCCTCTCTCCATCTTTTGTCTTGCTTATGTTGCTGCCTCTCTCCAACTCTCGTTCAGGTAGTTTGAGATGAGTGCTGCTGATGTGTTTGTATCTGTCTGCGCCCCAGTGACACTGCGCCCTGCCCTGTCGGCTCATTGTGCTCACTGACATTTCTCCAAATTGAGGCTCTGACATGAAGGACGGGGTGGTGCAGATGAAAGCTTCAGAGGTGACTGAACCACACAGACCTTCCCACAAACCGCTGCAAAAACACATAGCAGGTGGGTGGAAGAGAGTGCAGACATGTAGTGGAAGCTGTGTGTGATACAAGGATGTGTGTGTATATGTGTAGTGTGACTAAATTCATACATTTATAATAAAGTTTGAAAATGTCAGAGCGAGTCAAGCACCACCTCAAAGCAGGTGACCTTGAGATTGCAGCTTTGATTTGTCAGGTGCCCCCATAATCATTTCTTGTATGTGGACCTGGTGTGTGTATGTGATGGGGCCAGTTGGCAGGGAGACAGACAGATAAATGGGTGCTGAGCAGCCTGGGCTCTTCAGCACATTCATGAAGAGGAGCCCTCCACTGGGGCTGAGGAAGCTGCTGCTGCTGCAGTGTTGTTTACATTCATGAATAAATCCGCTTGCTGCCATTCATGCAAACACAATTAGTGACACGCTTTTCATGTGGAAGCCAGGAATAGATGAGCACGGATACCAGCTGTCTTTCAGAAATCCTGATATGTATTTATACAACCACTAAAGGACTTTGAACCACATTGTCCACATCACCATTCTGCAACACTAAACAGACATATGGTCACACTTTCACATGATGTAAACATGCTGAAATTGTGTAAAGCTGAAAACCTCTCTGACACTTTTATACCCACCCATCCATTATCTATACCGCTTAGTTCCGAATGGGGTCACAGGTGGGCTGGAGGCAATCCCAGCTGACATCGGGTGAGAGGCAGGGCACACCCTGGACAGGACGTCAGTCCACCGACACGCAGACAAATAACCACACACACACACACACACACACACACACACACACACACACACACACACCGACCTACCTACCTACAGTACCTACCTACGGGCAATTTAGAGTCACCAGTCAACCTAAGCTCAACGTCTTTGGACTGTGGGAGGAAGCCAGAGCACCCGGAGAGAACCCACGCAGACCCAGGGAGAACATGCAAACTCTGCACAGAAAGGCCACGAACCCGGAACCTTCTCGCTGTGAGGCAACAGCGCTAACCACCGTGCCACCCTGCTGCCCCCACTTTTATAATGTTGCTTTAATATTTTTATATTACAAAATAGCCAGCATCCATATGCACAAGGGGAAAAGAAAAGGATGAGAGACACAAAAAGAGTGTTGAGTAGTGGGCTGTGTGTTAAAGTGTGTGTGTGTGGGGGGGGCTCTTGGGTTGCATTGTGTGTAGGAGTGTTATTGAGAGATATTTTTAATTCTGTGTGTCAGCTCCTCTCATCTCCCTCAGCAAGAGATGTCGGAGGGAAGCTGAAAAACATTTCTAATGCAACAATCATCTAACTACACACTCATGCAAATGCACCAGTTGCATCTTTGAATCATAAAAAAAAGCACAAAATGGTCTGTGTTTTTTATGACTTTCCCTCAGAGCACTTGTGAGGGAATTTCACATAAGTATGATTCAAATATATTAATGCAATCCTGAATGGATACAGTTCCAGATGAATGAGGAGAATCTGTCTGTCAAGCCACAAAAACGCCAGTGTGGTAATGGCAGCGATAAAAGATTAAACACCCTAACAGTTCTTTGCTGTTTTTAAAAAGATATCAACAATTTATGGTGTTTAGTTGGAAAGAAAAAGAAGGCTTTAAATTCTCCTGACACCTCCAAGCCGCAGTGACTAAATAATACTTCACCATGAGGTAGATGATGACAATAATAATTCCCTGCAGAGCAGCCATCACCGACCTAATGGTTTTCTTCTATGCCACTGCTTTTAGGAGAAGCGTGGAAAGTCACTGCAGACCGCAAAGTGGGATTAGGCTCCTCCTGATGGAATACAGCTGCAGGATTTCTCTAAAGTAAAAGATAAGTGGATTTTGCCCACACTCATATTCTCAGTGAAGCTTATGAAAAAGCACAGTTGTCTTAATCACACGTCACAGAGCAGTGTGGATACTGTGGCCACCCACAGCATGAGAAGCACAGCGAATTCACTCTGGGCTCTTAATGTTCCGTCTCAGTTTGACTGTTCAGACATGACAGGTCGGCAGTATAAACTCCAGAAACATGTGTATATAATAAATGAGATCATATTATCAGCACAGCTTTGTAGCTGTTAAACACTTGGGAAGGATCTCAGAGGTGAGTCACAGGAAGATTATAACGCTTCCTTAATAATTCTGTAGAAATTTAGTATCTGAATGTTCCGACTGTTGACTGAAAAGCTAAACATTTACTTGAGGCTGCTGGGATGCAGATTACACTATGAAAACACAGCAGTTTATGTGTATGAAATAAAGTCAAAATGATGTGAAACTACTGACTTTAAACAGCACTCCCATTCATTTTGAGCTGATCTTCACCTGGAAAACAGCTTCAGGTAAAACAACCCATATTTACACTTCCTTGAGAAGTGGTTGTCTTGTGGCTGCACACATGCTGTCTCTGAAAGCAAAGGCAGAAGTAACACAACCTTGTTGTGGCGCCACCAAACCTGGTAGAGAGGAGATGACCATGCAAGTCTTCCAAAGGCTAAAAAACTTGGCCACGATCTCTCCTTAACCAGAACTAGGCATGTGCCCCTCTTGTATTACAATGATATTTGTGTCACTGTTAGTATCTGATCTTTTGGGAAGAAACAGCAACCTTTGAAAAACACGTCAAATAGTAAAATTTACTATTGTTATGAAGGACCTTCAAACTTCTTCAAACCATCTGGATAACAAAAATAGATGACTGCGAATTTTCATAGACATGTTGTGAAAATTAAATTGTCAGTTGGAATTTAAATCAATATTGCACCCTGCCCATGGGCCTCAAACCAAAAAGAGTGTAATGAAGGCTTTAACCCTCACAGTCCTGACGTTAACATGACATGAACATGTTTCTTTTGTCCGACCTGTTCTGTGAGTGTGGTTCAATAGTTTCATTATTTTCACATGAGAGAGTAGCAGGTGGCCAGTCTGATCAATGCAGGAGCCGGGCCAAGACACAGAGAAACCCTCGGTGACTGTGGTCTGGGTTTGACTTCACAATCAACCTGACACATCAAATATTCAGCAGTGGCTCACTGACACTCTAAAATCACTGGAAACAGAGAGCAGGGAAAACCGCAGGCACATAATCACATATACTCATTATCGCCGGGCTGTGTGTGTGTGTGTGCTTCACACTTAATACTGCCACTTATCCCCGACCGATTAGGGCTCCACACATCAAATATTAAAGCAGCACAGTGAATTATTGATCCCAATCAATGTCTGTAGATCAGAGTTGTCAGGGCGCAGAGGAGGAGCTGAATGAACGGCAGCACTGAGAAGCCCTAGATACACTGCAGCTGTACAGAGGTGCTGAAACATGACGATCATCAAAACAGCCCATGAGCATCAGGTTTACTTTATGTGGATTTTCCATAAAAATGCTCAAAGTGGAAGAAAGCTTTTCTGTTTTACCAATCACCAAAGTTGCCCACATTAAATAATGTATCTGAAAACCAGTTTTACGTGTTAAAGTCAAATAAAAATCAAGACTCACTGGTGGTGCGTGACCACTGATTGTATTTTTACACAATCGGTTTGACTTTTGTGGAGGCAAAACTTGTAACAAATAAAATTGTCTGCTCAAAGCTGAGTGATGTGATAAGTGAAGTTTCATCGCTTCACTCTGCCTGCTATGGCTAATCCAAACATGGCCAGAACATAGGTAGGTAGGTAGAACATGAGTGGAGGTCTTTAAAGAGCTAGATGCTAACCTCCTGTGCCAGGACCCTCCCTCTCACCTGTCACTCAAAGCAGCCAAGCCCTTAATTACGCCTAACTTTTAGCCTCAGTATAACTTATACAGGCAAGCCATATAAAAATTCACAGCTGTCATAGAAGAGGAAATTAGACATAGAGACCAAAGCTTTTTTTTTTTTTTTAGCATGGGAGCCTATGGGGATTGACTCCCATTTGGAGCCAGCCTCAATCAGCCATTCGAGGAGCTGCAGGTTTTAACATTTCTGTGTTGGCTTCATTTCTCACCCTTGGAGGCTGCTGCTTGGGCACAAAGCGAAATTCTCCCCCAAGCGAATCACTTTGCAAAGCATTGTGGAATGCTTTAAAAAATTTTACTTCATGCAAATTATGGCGAAATTCTCCTGGAAGTGACAAAGTGAACACTGAATTAGTGGCTTGTCTGGAAATATGTGTTACGGTAAAACGTCCTTGCAGTCTCTAGAACTCCGCTCCTATATGACCCCTGCCCCAG